CCAGAAGGGAGCCAAGAAGAAGCAACACCCTAGTTCTGAAAGGTTACTGTCATATTTTTAGAAGAGATCCTTAGGCTTCTGGAGTTAGCTCTTGTAGGGGCAGGAAACCGATAGCCTTGAGGCCAAAAGTGGCCCTCCAGATCCCTAAGTGTGACCCCTCTACTGAATCCAAACTTCAGAGAATCAATCCCTTTATTAAAGGACTTGTTCTGTAAAATTTGGATTCAGTCATAAGGCTACACTCAAAAATCCAGACTTAGAATAGTCTGAGACCATCACAGTAACTTTCAGAGCCACAGGAGGGACTGGCTTTTCTTGTCATAGGTCACGAAGGAAGAGCCACACTGGTACCACCAAGATGGCCAGCAGTGGAAAACGTAGACATTTAACCTGAAACAAGAAGCTACTTCCTTGGGAGTGATGTGGGCCACACTCTGGTCTTGATGGCTGCTGTTTGGTTGAGGGTGTGACCAGCTCCTGTTTTTCCCTGCCAGAGCTTGAGCCCTGTGAGAGCCTTGGAAAGAAAAAGTTCCATCTGAGAAAGAAAAGAGATAGGGACAGAATACCCTTTTTCTCCTGACAATTTCTTCCCTGACCCAACCAAATCTTCTCAGAGACTACTTTGGGCTCGAGAGTGTCTGAAAATATGGGAGCTTTCCACCTGTTCTAGCCAGCTCCTTCTCAGGCAAAAAGAGAGGGACCTGGCCAGGGACTATTCCTCTGTTCCTTCAGAAAGCTCTTAGGAATTACAAGAGAGTTTCTATCATCCCACAAGGTCAGGACAGCTAGAATAGCTGAAGAGACTGATAGCAACTGCAGAAATCCAGAGGACACCAAGTGCTACGTGTTAGGACACTTGGTATTTCACAGTAGTAGTATGTGATAGTCTCCTCCCAATTCCTGCCTCTCAAGGCCCTCCACCCAGAGGCAGACTTAAGACCTGAACCATGGTCCTCCCTCTACATCAAGGACAGTCTATGATTCAGATTCTCTTTCAAATTAGCCCTAAAACCAGGTCCAGAACACCAATGCAAGAAAGGTAGAATTTTTAATAAATTAGGCCAAAACCATAAGCAAAAAAAAAAACCTTCCAAAGTGGCCACTCTGGCTTTTGCTGTTTCTCTTGTCCTAGTCTTTTTTTTTTTTTTGAGACAGAGTCTCACTACATCACCCTCAATAGAGTGCTATGGTGTCCCAGCTCACAACAACCTCAAACTCTTGGGCTTAAGCAATTCTCTTGCCTCAGCCTCTCAAGTAGCTGGGACTATAGGTACCCACAGCACCCAGCTATTTTTTTGTGGCAGTTGTCACTGTTGTTTAGCAGGCCAGGTTCAAACCTGCCAGCCTTGGTGGCCAGTACCCTAACCACTGAGTTTCAGGTGCTGAGCCACTTGTCCTATTCTTGATGTATCAAAATAAGTACAGGGCCTGGCTCACATCTATAATCACAGCACTTTGGAAGGTTGAGGCGACAGGATCACTTGAGGACAGGAGTTCAAAACCAGCCTGGACAACATAGAGGGACCCTGATTCTACAAAAAGAGAATTAGCTGGGCATGGTGGCACATACCTGGATTGCTTGAGCACAGGAGTTTGAGTTTGCAGTGAGCTATCTCTGCATAGTGCACTCCTGCCTAGGCAACAGAACAAGATCTTAGCTCTAGAAAACAAAAAGAAAAGAGTGCAGCAGCCACAGCTGGTCACACAGGTGTGTAGAGGGGCACCAAACAAAATGGAACGCATGTTACTGGACAGCAGGGGGTATGCTGGGAAATGAAAAACCTACTCATGTCCCTTTTGCCTTTCCAGGCCTAGAGTCCCTACGAGATAGTGCCCATTCCACCCCAGTGCGTTCCTCTTCCCATGGGGACACCTTCCTGCCTCATGTGAGAAGCAGCCGGGCAGACAGCAATGAGCGAGTAGCCGTGATTGCAGATGAAGCCTACAGCCCTGCAGACAGTGTGCTGCCCACCCCTGTGGCCGAGCACAGCCTGGAGCTGATGCTGCTTTCCCGGCAGATCAACGGAGCCACCTGCAGCATTGAGGAAGAGAAAGAGTCTGATGCCAGCACCCCAAATGCTGCAGAGGTGGAGGCCCTTGGGGGAGAGCTGAGGGCCCTGTGTCAGGGGCACGGCAGGCCAGAGGAGGAACAGGTGAATAAGTTTGTTTTAAGTGTCCTCCGTTTGCTCCTTGTGACCATGGGACTCCTCTTTGTTTTGCTCCTCCTCCTGATCATCCTTACTGAATCTGATCTTGACATTGCCTTTTTCCGTGATATCCGCCAGACTCCCGAGTTTGAACAGTTCCACTATCAATACTTTTGTCCCCTCAGGCGATGGTTTGCCTGCAAAATCCGCTCAGTGGTGAGCCTGCTCATTGACACCTGAGAAGGCATGACTCCTCCCAGTAACTAGCCAGGTGGACCAAGGAGCCCGGCTACCCATTCCCAGCAATGGGACCCATTGCGGAACCATCGGCACATATACCAAGTCCTCCTCTCATGACAAAAAGTCCACTGCAGCCTAGGAGGGTTGTTTCCCAGAAGAAGAAAGGGATAGGCTCATGCCCTGTCTAAACAAACTGGGAAAACCATTTTCTTCAGAGGTTCTTTCAAGAAAGGCTCAGCAACTCTGTTTCTCATCCTTCCAATCTGCAGGATAATTTTTGGTTTTGAATTTTGATTTTTCATAGATGTGTATTATTTTGAAAGTATCAAATAAAAATAATTTATTTTACTATTACTGATTATCACAGTAGTGTCACCTAGCAGGTGGGACACTGGTTGAAGACTAGAGCGCTGCTGTCTTCTGTATCTGCTTCCTACTGGTGCTACTGGATTCCAGTAGAACCATCACTGCAGCCTCGGTGGGGCAGGCCAAGGGTCTGGACAGTGGGAACTGTTTAGGTTTTCTTGCCAGACAGAACTTTTAAACAAGTAGAACTTTTAAACCCATGTAGAATGATTAAATGGAAAGTTATTTCTTATGATGGTCTGAGTTGGATTTTCTTTTCCTTTTGTTTTTTCAAATCTGAGCAGAGTGGGCATCTGAAGGGATCACCGCTACAGCAGCAGCAGCAGCAGGGGTGGGGTAAGTCTGTCCCCTTAGACTAGAGCCTAGTGGGCATCACCATAGTTTTGTATAGTGAACTTAGACTTCTGTGATTTTTTTCTGAAGAACCTCAAGACTTTTATAGTGTTCTAGGGAAGTTAAATGAATTCAGTGGTGCCAGAAATAGTACTGTCAGAAATGTTGGACAAAGTATAGTTAACAGAAACCAGAGCTAAGTTACCTGAGAGACTGTTGAGATTCAGAGAGCAGTGCTTATTTTGTACACAACCTTCCCCCCCGCCAAAAGACTATTTCAATTTATATTTTAACAACAAAATGTTATTTTCTTATCAATTCATATTTTATTTTTACTTTATGGATTAAGAAAATAGAACCTGATGAACTAAACGATGCAAGAAAGAAACTGATCCTGAGAATGAAAAGCTTCAGAAAATAGAATTCCAAGATCAACAAGCAGCCTTAGAAGGGACCAGGAAAAGAATTTCTTTAAATAGAATTTCTAAGAGATGCCTACAAAAGACAGAAGGTGAATGTGGCAGAGACCAACACTTAGATGTAGAAATGCTGCCCCCTAAGGTCATCCCCTGCATCAGGAAAATAAGTTCTAAAAAAGCACCCTCCATCCTCGCTGAGGGAAGCCCTGGAGGCAGCAGCAGCACAGGCACATGAAGGGTAAGTGTGGGCCTGGGCCTGAGTTCTTCGATTTTAAAAACCAATCACTCGCAAGATCTTGTTTTCATCTCAGGGAGAGATTGCTAAGTCATCTGGGACCTGAAGGCTTATTTAAGGATGATCAATGGACATATTCCTGGAACTTACACAATAGTGAAGCAGTTGTTGGACAACCCAAATGCATAACAGAATTAAGTTATTTGTAGATTTGCTCTCCCCTGTTTTGTCCCTTGAAATGGTAGAACCATGTCCACATTTGGAATAAAACAGTTATTGGGTGTTTGTTGTGAGAGGGAGGGGTTGCAAATTTTAAAGAAAGACACCCTTTCATCTAGACCAGAGGTCAGCAAACTTCTATAAAGTGCCAGACACTAAATAGTTTGGTTTTGTGGGCCATACTCAGTCACAACTGTGCAACTCTGCCATTGTAGCACAAAAACAGCCAGATAATACATAAACGAAGCACCATGGCTGTGTTCCAATAATACATTGTAAAAAGAAACAGTTGAATTTGGCCCACAGGCCATTAATATGCCAACCCTGATCTAGATAATCCTTACCAACCAGTATGTTACCAGAAGAGAGTCAGGTGTGCCCCCATCCTAACATGTGTCAAAGATGTGGGACCATTTCCCAAAGGAGGTGCTGGGGTTGCTTGTTTAAAGGGTGCTCGAACAACCAACCAGCAAAGAGATGTCTGATGCCAAGATGAACAAGATCAAGTACTGGAATAAATGCTGAAACACGCCTGCTCTCTAAGAATGGAAGAGGGCAGGGCCTCTCTGACCATTTCCATACCAGCAACAGTTTTGGGCAGAATTGCAAACATCTATTTACCAAGTGACAAGACAAGACTGCAGGAGATCCTAGTAGAGATTAGGGATCACTTGAAACCAACTAGCCACTGCCACTTGTCATCTACATAGCAAAGGCTTTATTTAGCACAGGACTAAAATGAAAAGTAGACCCAGAGAAGAAAAGGCTGTCAGGGGACAGGGGGCTGGTATTAACCTGGATATTTACTGTCTTATGCAACATAGCAGATTACCTTTTAGTGTAGTGCTCCTACCTCAGTCTGTAGAATAATGGTGTTTCTATGCAGTGAGTGATAGCCTTGACTCCGATCTTTCATATTCACTTTAGAGACAGATGCAGTACTCCATTTCTGGTATGTTACCTGTGTCTAGAGTTTAACAGTACAGTAGTCCATACCATTTCCAATAGGTGAATTTTGCTCTCTGAACAGAAACTTTCAGATTATTTTTTTTCCAGGGCTCATCCCAGAAAATAGGAAAGTTTCCTTCAATTTGCCTGAATAACAAACCTCCTTTGTTGGTAACTGGTCTTTTTTAGTATCTCTCCATCATTAAAAATTGCTCAAGTTTTTAACTTGCTTTACTGTGTTCTACTATGTCTCTCATTTTCTCTCAAAATTAGTTTTAATTTCATTGTAGAAAAAGCAATGGTTTCCATAGCTTCATCTATCAGAGGAAATAAAATCTTTACTAAAGAATAAGTTGTACTGCCTCTTTAAGCAGTAGAGGGTAAACTACCTGCAAATGTGAATTTCTTAGTTTCATTTAAAATATATATTAATAGTTGTTAACCTTTCGTGTGCCAAATACTCGTTACATTTTCCTTCAAAGCAATGTACTTTTTTCTACATATGCAGTATGTAGTTAGCATAAAATCATTGGTGCCATGAAGATTATTTTTAAACTTAAATAAATATTTAAATATCATGTAAGAGTGGGCTCTTTCTTTTTTCACTTATAGCCTGTCTCACTTTTAAAGTTACCAATACACAGATAAAAGGATACTAGTGGGATTTACATAGCTACTGTTCATGACTGGAATCACATACAATGATCATTTTGCTTATGTCTATCTATTATCTATCTTTGCCTGTCCCCCCCAAATAAATACTACCATAATAGAACCTGAGAAACTATAAATGTGAAATAATTTAGAAATGAATTGGATCTCAGTTTTCTAATGACAAAAACCAAGTTTAAGTAATTTTGCCCAAAATTATACTGTCAGAGCCCAAATTATATAACTTAGATGGTCCAGCTTCTAGTCCAGCGTTCTTACTAAAGCATAAGTGGGAGAACTGAAAACATTTCCTATGAAGAAAACAGAATATCACCACCACAGTAATAAACCACGTATTTACAATTTACAAAATATGTATATCCCTGGATCGTTATCTCATCTGATTATGTAACCACCCCTTTGTGGCTATGGAATTGGTAATGATCTGCTAAATTCCATGAGGATAAGAGGTGACAACAGAGGCCTGGCCACCTTACACTCACTGTGCAAGCTGTTTACCTCATCTTCCTGTTCTCAATTCTGCTACCAGATCATATTCCTAAATACCAATCAGGTTATATCCTTCAACCTCCAATTTCTCAGAGGTTCTTACCTATAAAATAATAACCCAGTGCTGCGTCCCCACTGAAGTTTGTTTTTATGACAAAAGTCTTTGCTTGAGGTGATCTGAAGAGTAAAAAGCATAAGAACCACTAGACTTAGAGAGTTTCCCATGGCCCTACAAAGTCACAGCCACTTCCCTTTAGCTAATACCTACACAAGAAATGCCGACAGGCACACCCTGGTGGGACTCTAGCCCTGCTCCCTCTGCTTTGGGTTCCTCCAGCACAACAGAGCCTCTCTGCACCTGAACACACTTTTAGTTTTTGCTCACGAACACTTTCCTCTACAGGCCCATACAGACTGCTCATGCAGTGGAGTAAAACAGGCAAAGCACACTTTTAATACATTTCTTCTTGCACAGCCTCCACTTTGGTAAAATAGACAATAAAATGTATTATAGCCAAATAAGCCAGAATATGGTTTATAGTATCTTGGAACTAAAACTCATTTCCAGCCATCAACAAGGTACTATAAAGCAGGGATGGGCAGGAGAGGGGTGGGAAGGCACAGCCATGGGTGTAAAGTACGAAGTGAGAAGGGACAGCCTTACCAGGCACAGTGGGACACACCTAAAATTCCAGCTACTCCAGAGGATGAGGTGAGAGGATTGCCTGAGCCTAGGAATTCAAGAGCAGCCTGAGTAACACAGCAAGATCCTATCTTAAAAAAACAAAGGCAGGGATAGTCTAACAAATAGGACATCTAAGTTTTTGGAATATGAAGTTAAGAGGCATGTATTTCTTCCTCTCAGTTTGACACAGAAGGCATGGGTGTCTTTCCCCACCCTATCGCCACTCCATGTATTATATGCTGGCTGAGAGATATCCACAGCTCCCTGCTTTCCTAGAGAACTCCCTTTGTAAAATCTTCTCTATAAAGAGGAAACTGAAAGGCCAGAAAATTCAACTAGGACTTAAGCAACTCAGATTCTACTGATTTCATTTGTAGTTAGGCCTAGTCCAACCAAGTCTCCATCCACACAAAATGAGAATTGTCTGCTCCTTCCTCAAAGTCACATAATAAAAGGCTAGGCAGCTTGGTGCCCGTAGCACAGTGGTTACAGTGTCAGCCATATACACCAAAGGTGGCAGGTTCGAACATGGCCCAAGCCAGCCAAACAACAATGAGAACTGCAACAACAACAACAACAACAACAACAAAAATAGCTGGGCGTTGTGGTGGGTGCCTATAGTCCCAGCTAGTTGGGAGGCTGAGGCAAGAGAATCACTTGAGCCCAAGAGTGTGACGTTGCTGTGAGCTGTGATGCCACAGCACTCTACCAAGGGCAACACAGTGAGACTCTTGTCTTAATAAATAAATAAATAGGCTTG